CTGGCAGCAGCTGCTACCTCCGGCCCCCGGCATCCTTGCCTCTAAGACTCTCCAGGTCCCGATGGGCCTGCCTACAGCCTTCTCACCACTGTCACACAGCGGTAGTTCTTAAGCATCATCATTGCCCATCCACATGAAAAACAGACGTCCCTACACCCATGTGCCATTGCAGCAACTCCCTGGGAGACCCCGCCCCAGGGTGGGCCAAGGGAGGGAAGCATTACAGTAGCAGGGCCAGGAGTAGTAGACTGCCATCCTCCTGTGCTCAGGCTGTTTGCTGAGAACTCAATTAAAAGCATCTGTACTTACCCTTCTCCCTCTTGCTTAAGGACAAAGCAAATTAAATCATCTTGCTGCAACACACACACCTCCACCCCACCCCCAGGCTCCAAACCAAATTTTGATGGAAAATTTATTAGCATCATAAAGCCCAGGTTGATTTATGTGGCAATCTGGAGCCACGCACAGCAGTAGAGTGGCTGCTGTGTTCCCCTCCACCTCCAGGTTAAGTTAGGGAAGCCCCAGCCTAGGAGGGAGGAGGGACCCAGTGACCACTGACACCGCCGAGCTGATGGCCTCCCACTGCTGCTGCCTGGGGTCTCTGCTCTTCCATCTCCACCTCTTGTCGGGTCTGCTAGAAGTCATGTGAGGTCACCTCCATCATCATACCAGGCCTCGGTCACTTAAAAGTTGGGCATAAAGAGGAAAGGACTCAAAGGGCTCAGCATTCCCGGGTGGGTCTCCCTTGATCCCCACAGGCATCAAGCACATTGAATTGTCTGGTACCCCCTGGGTAAGGTGATGGGCTAGGCCCTGGTGTCTGCAGAGAGTCCCTGAGGTTAGTGGTCTGGAGGACAGCAGAGGAGCCTGCCCAGCCTCCCAAATCTCCTTGGAGGAGGTCTGGAGCTCAGCAGTCGCCGCTGCCATCTATTTCCATGGTTCTGGACCAGTCCTGAGGGCAGGCCAGGTCAAGGTGGGAGTGAGCATTCTCCACCAAAGCACCAGGCCCAGCTGAGCGTCAGGGCACAGTGCCAGGAGCTCTGGCTGCGCCTCACCTGAGGCCGGTAGATGGGGCAGATGGCAGGCTGTGAGCCACTGCTGTGTGATAGAAAGTGGCAATGGGCACCGGGCCAGGCCCAAGGCCGCACAGCTGTCCTCACCACATGGGACCAAGAGCGGCCTCAGCAACAGGCAGCGCCTGCCTCGTGGGACTCTAGCTGAAGAGAATGGTGGTTCCAGGCCCAGGGACAGAGGAGAGCTGAGACCTGCCTGCTGACTGTAGCCAGGGGCCACCGAGAGGCTAGCTCTCAATCAATAGCCAGGCTGCAGGCAAGCCCTTCCTGTCAACCTTCCTCCCAGGGGCATGCTGCATGCCTGGCACAGTGTTGGATACATTGTGAGGACCAAATTCTCAGACCCTGTGGCCTCTGAGCAGTAAGCATCTGTAACCCCCTCTTCTAGGTACCTCCAGACCATAGGAAATTAAAGGACTGAACTTAGCCCAGCACCAAAGTCCTTAATAAAGCTGCTATTACCAACAGTTGTCGCCTTGGTCACTTGCCAGCTGTGACTGTCCTGGTACCCCAGGACTGCCAGGACTCGGTTGAGACTCCCAGATATTGCTAATGAGATGGTAGTCTTGGAGTTGCTGCCTGCTGCACTTCGGAACCAGGATACCGGCCTGGAGTCAACCAGATCTAGGAGGGTTGGGGGAAGAGGACTGGCCGTGGTTCCCTAGTCTTCTAAGAAACTTGAGGGTGGCCCTCCCCTTGCAAAGAGCAAGGTAAGTAAACCTGGAGGGACATGGCTAGAAATGTCATGTGGCCCATACCCCCTTTATGAGCGCTGGCTCCCTGGAAAGCACTGATGTGCATACCAGCTTTTGACTAAAAACAACTGAAGGGAGCAGCCAGGGCAGCCACGGGAGGGAACTGGGTCAGACTGTAAGCATGTCCCACTGTGGGACAATGGCAGGGCCTTGCTTTGGCATGTTGCATCAAAAGGAAAAACCAGCATTGAAGGTGGGGGTTGTCAGGGCCTCGTGTTAGCTGCTTTCCCTTCTATGACCTCACATTTCTCCTCCCCTACAGGCTTTCTACCTCCTCTTAGAGGTAGGAGAGAGCCGGGGCACTGCCACCTCGAGCAAGAAGCTACGATGTCTGTCCTTGCACCTCTTGCCCCTCTATGCCTTTCTAGAAAAGAGCCAGGCTGCTGGCACCTGGGCCAGCAAGCAGGAGCGGCCCTCCCTCCTTCGAGCCAACAGCAGGCTCAGTTCCACATTTGACTCTTAATTATCTTTCCAGGTCTTGGTTATTAATGATCTTGGGCAGCAAGCAGAGCAGCCTAGACCTCTCACCTCCTCCCAGCCTCACCTGCTGCAACCGTCTCCCACAGCTGCATGCAGACCCTGGTCAGGAGGGTGGGAAAGCAAGGACTCAGGTCCAGAAACTGACGGCTGTCAGTTAACCCTGTCACTGCTGAGTGTGGGTCCAATGTCACGCTCTCTTCCGGAGAGCTCTGTTGTCAGTGCTGGCCTAGACTCATGACCTCCACCTGTTGATGTCGCCTGGTTCCGTCTTGTCAACAGCCGTAAGGCAGTAAGTGATTAGGACCATAACAGAGGGGGCTACCAATTCTTAGGGTGATCAGACTCTGGCCTTAATGGAAATGTATCTGACCTTGCCATCTTCCCTAAAACAAAACTAAAGAGGCGCAGTTATCATGGCCCCCACCCAAGCAGTGTGGTCGCTGGAAACAGAAGAGTCAACATAAGCGACTGTAGCAGAGGACACTGGGCTGGCTCCAGGGGTTACTGTATCCATCACTCCCCTCCCCTCATTTCACCTCCCTCTGTCCTGTGGAAGAAATATCTGCCAGCTTCCACCTCACCTAACCTGTAGAGGACAGCAGGACCCCAGCTTTACATCCATAGTGGTACAAAGGGTCTGACTGGATCAATAATGCTTACCATATTTGGAATGGTGACCGATGCTTGCTCACTTCACAGAGTCATTGTTGGAGAACAGATGTAATTGCTGATGGGAAAATTTGAAAGACTTTAAAAGATGGCAAAAGCCATCCTTACAAAGATCCCCAGAACCGATGACATGTGACAATGAAAGGTAGTCAGCTGAGAACCCCAGAGGGAAGATGGGGGGCTGGACAGATGGGCAGATTGTCCTACCTGAAAAGTGTTGGCACAGTGAGGCTGAACCATGCCCGACCCAGGACGGTACCTATGCCCACCTTCCAGAGACCATGGGCCAGGCCCCAGGCAAGCTTGACAGTCCCCAAATAGACCTGCATCCCTTACCACTGTGACACTGCCATGCTCCTGAGGGGGTCTCCTAGCCTGTCAAGACAGTCACTGTCCCTGGCAAGAGCCTCTCTTTTCTGGGAGACTGAGTGATGGACTCAATCCATCACCCTCAGAGCTCCCATAGTGAGCACAGTTGTCACAGAATAGGTGGAATTGGCCCTGAATATCAAATGGCTTCTGCTGCCCAGAACCCTCTCCCTCAGCCTCACCTATTCCCACCTCACTCTTAGACACCCTTGAAGCTAAGGCTTGTCTACACGGATCTGTCCACATGCTATAAGCAGATGTCCAGCCCAGAATACACCCAAGGCTGTACTGTGCACCCTCCAGGATGTAGAATGAGGCAGCCAGGACCAAGTGGGTTGTAAAACATTGCTTTAATGCTCCAATGAGAAGAAATTCCAACCTACTGGAGCAAGGGGTGGGATGGCCCCACCCCAACCTCCAGTTCCAATTTCTGTGTCCCCAACCCAAGGCCACAGCAGCCACAACTAGGGTCTGGCTGGCACCAGGACAGGGACCCATTTTCACCTCCTGTGACTGCAAGATCCCAGCCCACACCAGGACCCGAGCCTTCTAAGGTCACAAACTGGCATGGCAGACATCATCTTCAGTGGGGTCCCATGGCCAGGATTTCAAAGTAGAAGCCAGAGAAACCCATACTTGCCTGCCCACCAAACATGGCCAAGGCCAGCCACAGAATCCAGTCCAGCAGGAACCAGAGCAGCTGGTACCTCATACTTCTGATTCCAGGCTGGAGATTCGCCTCCAGGTGCAGGACCTTGGGAAACCTTGTGTCCCACAGGCCTCCCTGCTGACCTCTTCCAGCACCCCGCTGTCCCTGTAGCCTGTGCCTAGCCCCAGGGTCCTGCCTCTGTGTAATGGAGGCTCCCAGGCTCCAGTGAGCCAGGGGCTGTGACTGGCACAGGGTAGAGAATGATGGCAGACAGCCCCCCAACAGAATGGCAGGTGGGTATGGGTGTGCAGGCAGACGTGCTGTCTGGGCTGCCAGGTGGCCGCCCCTGCCGGTACGCCCTCCACACAGGCTTCTCGGTAGGACGGCAGCCGCATGGACTGTGCCTGAACCAAGTGCCTGCAGGATGGCTGGCTTTGGGGGCAGGGGCAGGCACAGGCGTGACCGGCGCACCTGGCAGGCAGCGGGCTGGATCGAGTGAAGGCTTCTGCTACCGAGCTGGGTAGGGAAGCGTGGCGAGGACGCGGGCCCCGGGCCCAGGCCGCGCGCAACAGAGCCTCCCGCCGAGCCAGCTGTTCCGGCCTGAGCAGCGGCAAGTCGTCGGGCTCCGGGGGCTCCGGGAAGAGCGGGAGGAAGGGGCGCCCGGATCTCTCAGCGCGAGGGAAGGAGCTGTAGTGGCAGTGCGCGGGCAACAGGGGGCGCTCCGGGAGCGCGCGCCGCTCGGAGGCCGAAAGGTGCCGCCCCCGGTGCGCGACCCGCACCGGCCACCGCGTATCCCAAGCGTGCCTGCAGGGTGCTCGGGACACTGCGGGAGGAGGCGGCCCGCACATCGCGGGGCGGCCGGAGGGCTGCGGGGCCCTGCGCACTAGCGGTGTGTGGCCCCCACCGGGAGGCCCCCAGCCACTGGGACTCCGTTGTCCCGGAGGACCCGGGGTGGATGACCGCGGGCCGGAGCTGGTGGGAGCAGGTGCTCGGCGGTTGCTGCTCCAGTTCTCGATGGTGCGTGTGGCGCGGTCCAGGGAGCTGCTCATATCCGCGGTGTTCACCATGTCTCGAGCCGCCTGCAGCATCTTCAACACACTGGCCTGGGCTGAGCCTGCTGTAAGGTCCGGGCTGGGTGGCCGCGCAGGGCTGGGGAGGCTCTGTACCCCGTTGAAGCAGCTGTAGATGCCCTAAGCAATGGAGAAGAGATAGGTCACCACTGTCCTGGGCCATGTTCCAAGTAACAGCTTTTTAAGCCCCAACTGTGTGCTCTTGTGTGTCAGGCAATGTGCTACTCTGCAGATGAATGAAGTATCGGGTTTATTCGTTCTAACGACACAAATGGCAGGGAGGACTCAAAGCCCCACCATGCTGGCAAACCACACCTCTTCCCAAGATGTCAGTTATACATCTGTAAATGAGTCCACAGCCAGCTGGGTTGCTGTCCCTAACACTAAGATCTGTATAGGAAGAGGCAGGCACCTACCCTGCTGAAAGCCAGCAGGAAGTCCAGCTGGGGTGAGTTGGGCACGGAGTGGCGAAGTTTCCAGTAGACAAGGTGCTCCCAGGCAAAGACCAGCAGGGCCAGCCCCATGGCCACCAGCAGCATGTAGAAGACGCCCGCCATGTTGTCGATGTCCAGCTTGCTGCTCATCACCTCATTCTTCTCATTCTGGCAGATCCCTGAGAGCCACACCGTCTCCAGCTTCTGGGTCTCTCCTGGCAGAGAGTACATACAAGACTCAGGACCACCTCTTTGGCAACAAGCCCTCCCAACACACTCCCTGAGCCTGGATAGAGGACGGTTCTACGTCCTTGTTTCCTAGTGGGGACCAGTGCCGCAGAGGTGGAGCAGGGGCAGTAAGCAAGAAGAAAAAGCAGAAGGAAGCTAGCTGCAGAATTAACACCAGTTTTGCGCCCTTTGCCTGCCCACTCCCATATGCCCAGTAAAGTCTTGGTTTTGTTGTTTTGTTTTTGTTTTGTTTTGAGACAGGGTTTCATGTAGCTCACGCTGGCCTTGAAACTTGATAGTAGGCAAGGAAGATCTTAAACTCTGGATCCTCCTGCCTCTACCTCCCAATCCCAGCTGGGATTACAGGCTGACACCACCATGCCTGGCACTAAAGGCTTGCCTGTTGGTTAAATTTTAGTATTCACTCATTCATTCATCATTCATTCATTCATTTATTCATCATATGCTCTTTACCACTGACATGCCAAGCTCGAGCTGAGCCCCTGCGAGATGACATTCTTGTTTGCTCTCATGACACTGAATTTATGGTATGGACAGTGTTTTGAGTTTAAGGGTATGGGGGATTGTTGAGATTTACTTTTGTCCTTAATTGTGTATGTATAAGTATGTCTATGCATGGGTATCATGTGAGTGCAGGTGCTCATGAAGGCCAGAAGTATCCACTCCCCATGGAGCTGGAATTACAGTCAACTGTGAGCTGATGTGGGTGTTGGGAGCCACACTCAGGCTCTCTGCAAGAGCAGTACATGCTCTTAACCACTGAGCCATCCCCGCAGCCCCAAGGCATGGGGTGTGTTTTGTTTTATTTGGAGACGAGCTCTTGATTTATAGTCCAGGCTGGCCTCAAACTCATGATCTCTCTATGTGGGTCCCCCCGGGGCTACAATTACAGGTGTCCATCCCTATACCCATCTCAGACAACATTTTGTCCGCTAAGGATGGAACTGTAAACTCAGAGCTTTCTCTGGGTTTAGAGCAGCCTGGGCTGGTCTCTCCAACTAGTGAGCCCTGCTGCCCAGGCTAGCCTGCTTCCAGCTTGGGAGTAGGCAGAAGTTTAGCCCCACCCTCAGGTAATCTCAAGATGACAGAAGAGAAATACTCATCTAGGAAAACCAGAAGGTGCCTGGGGGCATTCAGCCACTCGGAACCCCCACCAGGCAACTGGAGTGCTTTCTTGCATTCCTTGCCCTTTGGGAAAACCCCAGGTCTGGTCCTTGCATCCACTTACAGGTCATCACTTCCTGAGGGTTCAACAGTCTTTCCTCATACTTGCACCCCAACTGCCCCACCCTCACCCCCAGAGGCCTTCTCCTGTGGAGGCTCTGTGCACACAGAAATGATGATGGAGATGCTGATAACCACAGGCTCTGTGGTCCACCCTGGGCCCTTCCTGGGCCCTACAGTTGTGGTACTCACCATCCCCCAGGAACTGCAGGAGTGCCAGGTCTATGGCCCGCTTCCAGTGGGAGTCTTTCTGCATGGCGATGCCATAGCCAGTGGTGGCGAAGACCTTGCCAGATCCAATGGTGACCAGCTTGCAGCCCTCATCCTTGCCCGCCATGTAGTTGAGGACAGCAGCATCGTAGATAAAGGCATCCAGCTTCCTAGAGACAGGCTGAGCCCTCAGGGCCAAGGGCCCACACCGTGAGAGGGAAGCACCAAACCCAGGGTGTGGACAAGGGCCTGAGTACAGGAGCCTGCGGGCACCACCAGCGAGGTGCCCTTGCAAGGACCCCTTCCGCACTCCTTGGAGAGGACAGGGAACTCTCTGCCCTAGAATATTCCATCCCTCTGCCCATCCCCTTGTGCCCTCAAGAGCCTGTAACTTAACAGTCACCACCTCAAGCTTGGGTCAACACTTCACCTCTATTTCTGGACCATATAGTAAACATCCACTCTGCCTCAAGACCCCCTCTCCCCTCCCCAGGAGTCCCCAAGACATGCCAGCTCCACTGTCCCCACCTTAGGTCTCTAAGGAAGGGACACCTAAGGATGCTTCCTGGGAAGCCATGGAACCAGAGGCAGAGGAGGGCGCAAGACTGGGGACCCACCCCATCTTGAGGCTTGTGAGAGCATCCTCCACTGAGCGCTGGTTGAACTTGACCATGTGGGTGTGCATGTCACGGTAGTTGCTCCGAATGTTCCTCTCTGTGCTGCCATTGGGCACCGTGCCGAAACGGAAGGGTGGGTATTGATCTTGAGGCCGCTGAAACTAAAGGCAGAAAGCAAGCCACTCCCACCCTCTTCATCCAGCCTCCTGGATACCAGAGTCCCAGCCCCAAGTCTGACGTGCACAGTCTTGGGCACAGTCCAGGCCTCCCCTGTCTTTTACAAATGGAAACTCAGAAGCCTGAGACAGAGGAAACTTAATCAAGGTCACTCAGGCTGTGGACCTGAGCAGTCATGGATCCTTCTCCCCAGGCCCCCAAATTCTTCCCACTGCAGCCTTTGTTCCAACTCCCCAGACTGTCCTGTGTCTGCCCATCCAAGGACTATCCCCACCCTCCACCTGGCTGTGGCCCAGGAACCTTCTTGTCACTAAGGCCCGACACAGTGTCGATGTACTGCTCCTGGATCATGAAGGCTGCCAGATTGGCCGTGTAGCTGGCGAGGAAGATAACTGCAAAGAAAGCCCAGACCAGGACCATGATCTTGCTGGTGGTACCCCGGGGGTTCTCGATGGGAACAGAGTTGTTGAAGACCAGCGCCCACAGCAACCACACGGACTTGCCAATGGTGAAGGATGGTCCTCCAGATTCTGGGGGTGAGAAGGTGAGTGTTGGGGCTTCCCTGACCCACTATGAAGGGGCTCATAGCCTGGTGGGAGCCTCATCATGGGCCATTCTACCCTGTCCCTCCACCCAGGCCCATGGAACAGCTTACTCTTGCCCTTGGTGAGGTTCTGGTTGTAGCTGACGGGGCTGAAGTACTCGAACATGAAGACAGTGATGGCAACCACCGTGAGGCACATCACAAACATCATCACCCACACGGCAGGGCTGTAGGGTTCTGGGGACCAAGGCAGGTGGCTCAGAGACCTCGCCCCCCCTCCCCCGCCATTCCAACAGTACTAGGCACCAACAAATGGAGACATGTGCAAAGGAGGGGCCTGGCAGCCCTGTAGGTGGGACCAAAGGTCCCTGATCCTCCGGGCAGCAGAGCCCCCAAAGAGTCCAAGGAAGGACAGCGTACAGTGTTCAAGGCTCCCTCCCTTCTCCTGAGACCACACATCACTCCACTCTAAATCTCCATAGCTCCCTGATCTCCAGCAGGGCCCATCACTAGGGAGGGTTCTGATCCCTCTGCCTGGGGTATGAGGCCCTGAGGGCAAGTCTTACTCCACATCCATTGACGTGGGACCAAAGCCCAAGGCCCTTCAGAATCTGACTCCTGGACTGAGAAACCGTTGCTGTCTAGAGCACTTGCTTCTTTGCAGGGAGGCCATCCTAGAGGTGGGGGTGACTCTTCCCTGACACTCAGAGAGGGCGTGCACGTGCGTGTGTGCGTGTGTGCGTGTGTGTGTGTGTGTGTGTGTGTGTGTGTGTGTGTGTGTGTGTGTGTGTGCGCGTGTGCGCGTGCGTGCATGTGTGTGTTTCACCCTGGCTGGCCTGGAACTCACACAGACCCTCCTGCCTCTGCCTACCACTCTCAGCTCTGACTTTGTTAAAGCCACCCAGCAAGACGGGGCAGAGCTGGGGTCTCACACCAGCCTAGCCAGCTCTCAGCCCTTCCCCTGTGCTCACAGCTTCTCTGAGCCACTTCATGCTACAAGCCCCACCTGACCCCCACACTGGGCACTCAGGAAAAGGAAGGAACATAGTTGTATGCTGTAACCCTGTAACCTGGCTGGGGGTCTGGCACAGTGGGGCTGACCCCCAAAATTCAGGGTTCCTGATGGAGTAAGAAAAGTATCAGCATCTATCTCATGCTCCCCTAATGCTTCGTCCTTGGTCCGTGGCCCAACCCACAGCACAGCCTGTAGCCCGCCGCCGGCCAATCTGTCTTCGCGTCCTTCCCAGTGGCTCCATTGGCCTGTCGGATTCTTTTGACCCCGACCTGGCTCAGAACCCACCAGTGTTAGCACCATCCCCTCCATCTCCTCTTCACTTGCCTCCCACCACCCTCTGAGACTCTCAAGGTCAACCTGCTTGGCTTTAAGGGTCCTCCCCAGACCTCACCTTTCCACTCATACCCCCCACACCCACCCCTGGCTTCTTGTGCCCAGAGCCTTTCCTGGCCACCCAAAGCTCACCCAGGAAGGCTGAGGGGGAGACGGTGCCATTGCTTCTAGCCACCATCACACTGATGCCGGTCTCCACAAAAGGCACAGAGAAATCTATAATCTCAGAGCGCTCCTCATTGATGGTGAGGGAGCCGATGGCCATGTCTGCCCGCTTGTAGTATACCTAGGGGGCAGGAGGGGATTGAAGAGATCCCCCAAGGACTTCAGCATTCTCCCCAGTCCTCATCCTGGAAGAGCATCCGGCAGCCACCAGTGGAACTGGCTACTCCCTCCCTGGGTCCCCAGAGCTCAGTTTCCCCGGACTTCATCACTGCAGAGTTGACAGCCCAGTTGCACAACCACATGGCTGGGGGAAACATGAAATCTAGCAGTGAGCAGGGTGGCCCCAGCTGAACCTGTGGTTGAACCTGGGGTTGACATACCTCCCCGATCATGCCGTTCCACACACCTCGCACCCGCTTGCCGTGTTTGCCGTTGGTCACCAGGTACAGGTCATAGGAGAACTTGACCACCTTGGCCAGCTTCTTGAGGATGTCGATGCAGAAGCCCTTACAGCAGAGCTTGGTGTAGGGGGTTACATCCCCGCTGCTGCAGCCACGACCACAAGTCAGAGCCTGCCACAACGCTCAACCCCAGCTGTTCCTCCCAGCCTGGCATACAGACCCCACCCCTGCCCAAGCACGAGAGACACACACGCAGCAGCTGACCCACCCATGGCAGCACCCAGCTCACACCGGACCTGAAGGTGTGGTTGCTCTGTCTACGGCAGGGCACAGTGTTGGGTACACAGCCACCAGTGCCAGGGTCAGGGCTTTCCACAATGACAAAGGGCCGTTCTTCCAGCGTGGCCACCGTCAGATGCCGGCTGTCCACCACAGGCTGCAGAGAAGTGCTGTAGCGAGGCCACACTGGGTACTTCATGTACAGGACTCCATGATCCCAGCGCCCCACCTGCAGAGGACAACCTGCCT